CCAGATTGCGAACTGGAAATGTTCCATTGCCTCACGTGGACCGAAATGTGGACCAAGTTTACAATGTGAAATTTGTAGGTCGTTTGTTTCTAATCTAATTCTGTGATTTTTATGTCCCTGCTTGTGACTAACCAGTTGCTGTAATGTGGAGATCAAACGGCAAAGGGCTAACCACTTCTTGTGTACTGTAGGGAGCCAAGAACCATGGTGTGGTGATGCCTGATGCCAACAAGGAGAACACTCTGAACCAGCTTGTGGGCGCGGCGTTCGGGGCAGCGGGACAACGCTGTATGGCTCTGTCCACAGCCATACTGGTGGGCGAGACGCGTAGCTGGCTGCCGGAGCTGGTGGAACGTGCCAAAGCTCTGCGCGTGGATGCAGGTACCACGCCCCATCGCCCCCGCCCTTCACCTCGGCCTCTCCTGTTCTCCTGAGCCCGTTTCCCCCAAGGTCCTTTTTGGTTTTATTCATCTCGGGGCCACCCACACCGCCCTAACCTCACCTCTCGCCTTATGGCCTGTTGTAACTTCACATTGGGAGTCAGCTGGGCTTGTTGAGTCAGCCATGCTGCAAATTTGTGGCCAGATCTGCGGCTCGGGCCTAAATGGCGGTCTAGAGGATCAAATCCTTTGAGAAAAGAAGTTGATGTGAAGTAAAATGGAGAATGAGTCTGTGTGTTTACAGCGATATGAAGTTTAATTTGTACAATACACAGGAAACCCGCAAGAATCCATTTTAGAGGGAGTGCCTCAAAGTGCCCCTTGTCCTGGCTTTTGTGGCCAACGAAATGTCAGTGCCCTTAGTTTGTTCGCATCCGTCAAGTGACAGAACGTGTAACCTTATAGCTTTGTTTTTTGGGGCCCTGCTAGGAGACCAGCCTGGTGCAGATCTGGGGCCTCTGATCTCTCCCCAAGCCAGGAACAGAGTCTGCAGTCTGATCCAGAGCGGCGTGGAGGAGGGAGCAAAGCTGCTACTGGATGGCCGAAATATTAAGGTCAAAGGTTACGAGAACGGCAACTTTGTGGGACCTACCATCCTCAGCAACGTCACAGTATGAGGCTTCATGTGTTAAAAGTGCTTGCACGTGAGTGTTATCATAAAGATGTCTGCAGTCGGTGAAAGTGCTCCGTTGTGCGCTCTTTCAGCCTCAGATGAAGTGCTACACCGAGGAGATCTTTGGGCCCGTGCTGGTCGTTCTGGAGGCAGACTCCCTGGACAACGCCATCAGTTTGGTTAACAAGAACCCCTATGGCAACGGTACAGCCATCTTCACCACAAACGGTGCCACCGCACGCAAATATACTCACGAGGTGGATGTGGGCCAGGTGAGCGGCCGCTGCGTCCAAATGTGCAGCTCGTTCAAGGGAGAAAGGAGACATTCACGCCGCTCTGTCGTTTCTATGCACCATCTCAAGCGGAGAGAACATCATATTTGTTTGAAAGCCTTCACACATTAAATAAAAACAATTATTTTCCATGTTGGGCATACCCTTATTTGCTCCCTACCCAAAATGCACACCTTAAGCAACCCCTTTTTCCCCTCCACATCCACACCCAAGAAAGTCGCAAATAGCAACAGCAAATATGCTTCTGTTAAATAAAAATAGGGATGCATAGAAACTTTTCCAGGTAGTATTCAGGGGAAGAGGGGCGTTGGTGGTGAGGATTGTTAAAATTAAATCTCAAAAGGGATTTCTAGGTGCGTATTTAACAGTTAAGTAAAAACATGGCCATCCTGTTTGTTTGCCTGTGGAGCCTAGTTATGCCCTGTGTTTGCTGTTCACATGTCGGGGAATGTTGTGCAGGCCATGTGCCGTACTCGTCTCCAAACCTCCATGCAACAAACATCTACTTTTCTGTTTTTTGTTGGGGTTTTTTCTTTTCTCCCATGCACCTTTGCCAAAAGGCCCAAGTATGCAAACCTATTCCCGTTGTTTAAAACACTCTAAACCAACCATGCCGTGCCTCTTGGTGTTTTCGCAACAAAACTTTATTTTTATATATTTTTTGTTTTCCTCCCTTTTTCCTAAGAGCAGGCTTTGTTTTCACACATCAAATAAAAGCCACAGGTTTATCTCTGTTTGGTGCGATCGTGTAAGCTTGCTTTGTAAACAGCACAAACGTACCGCATCTCCCATCAGCTGCGCCTCGCTTGTCCCTAGCAATTTAGGACCTGCGGGAATTGTTTTACAAACCTTACACTTATGGAAATGAAAGGGACAATGCTTGTTTTCTGCAGGTGGGAGTCAATGTTCCAATCCCGGTGCCGCTGCCAATGTTCTCCTTCACTGGATCGAGGGGATCCTTCAGAGGGGACACGAACTTCTACGGAAAGCAAGTGAGTGGCAACTAAAACAAACGGATCCTGTCGTTGGGCCTGTGAGGGTAAAAACACAGCAGCTGTCTTAATTTGATGTAAACGCTTTTATTTTTGCTCTTCAGGGCATCCAGTTCTACACACAGATCAAAACCGTCACCGCACAATGGAAAGCTGAAGATGCCACCTTAAAAAGTCCTGCCGTTACCATGCCTACCATGGGACGCTAAATGCTTCATCCAGTCGCTGCTGATTACTCTTGTAAACCAGGAGCCGTCAAACGCTCCACTTGCAAAAGCAGATTTATATGTCACCTGTGAATAGCTCATAAATACAAGTTAAAAATAAATAATCCCCAGATTAAAAGACTTTATATTAGATATGTATATGTGGCTATTGTGCGAGGGGACAACACTAAGGCAATCCAAAAGTTCTGTAACATTATTGGGTCAACGTCATTTCCTGAAATACAGCACCTGCTGAAACTCTTATACACTTGCTGTGTTTGTGTGTTTCACAGAAATGAAAGCTGCCTGGAGCCACACCGGTTGCTTTTGATTATGCTATCTTACACCTCTCTCCTCCCATGACCCCCTTTTCTACACTGCCACAATGAGGCATGTAAACTGTAAACGTGCCTCATGTTTATCCATTCATCAAGTGTCTTAATGTGCAAATGCTGCACCTGCACTGTACTGATACTCATCAAGCTTACGTTCTAGTATTGTGTATATGACTTATCAGATAAGAGGAGAGTCAATGTGCTGACACGTTATATCAAATCTATCGATACACAGGCAACACTATAGCTCACCGGATTGAGCAACTGACCGATAAGCTGTAAATTTTACAGGCCTGGGTTTGAAACAGCCCTGAGCCATTTGCTGCACATCTTCCCCTGCTCTCTTCCAGCTTCCCAATCTACTTTCACCTTTTTCTATCATAATAAAAGATAAAACCCCTCAAAAATGATTAAAAAAACAAACAACTATCCATCCATTATTTTTAACCACTTACCACACAGGTGGGTGTGGGTGGGGGGTCATTTGTACACGTGACCTGGCTATTCAGCTTATAAGATACTACTTCTGTTCCAACTGCTTGTCACATCCTTGCTGGAAGGCGCAAATATGCAAAGAAAGTATGTAAGTGGAGGTAATGAGGAGGCGTGTGAGCAAACCGAAATCCTCATGTCACCTGGTGCATATGTTCTTATCAGCTCTCTGTAGTCACAAATAGATTTTCTTTCTTTCTTTTTTTTTTTCTTTTTCTTTTTTTTAAACTGAGGTACAACAAACAGAATGTGCAAAAGCACTCACATGCCACACCGCACATGCGTGCACGGTAAGATATTTTGAACAAGCACAAACAAACATCCTATATTCTAGTTGTATTAACACTCTTGAGGAAACACGCAAGCACAGTTTAATGTGAGACACAGAGGCCACTCGGAGGTCACGTGATGTGTGTATCTGGCTGGGCGGCTGGCAGCGTGGACTCTGATGGCGCCGGGGTGCTCATGGTCGCCGCGGACAGCTCCTCTCTAATTCTGGAAGAAAGTCATCATCATGCCACTGTGTTGATAAATCACATGTAGGCACTCATGTTCTCACAGCCGCTGCTTTTTTGGCTAAACATGGAATGTGGGGACCAATAAATCTTAAAGGGCTTCTTAATTGCAAGGATGAGGTACAGTTTTTATTCTTGTGCATTCCTTCAGCGTCTTACCCCGCTACATCGCTCTCCGTGAAGCTCCTCTTCCCAGTGGAGGCCGGCAGAGCCACCTGTCGGCTGACTTGGCTGTCAGGAAGATGCGGAGTTGCGGTTAAATACAGAACCTCACAGTGAAAAGTCATGTTTTAGCACAGTGGTGTCTTTTCACTGAGGCCTCCAGCCTGTCTAGAAAAGGGGTTACTCCGGGTCAGCACAACGCACATGGATTTGCATGCTGCCATCAGCTGCCAAATGTTCTGTGTTATTCTGCAGGTCTAGCTGCCAGACCGAGGTTAACCTGAATATACTTCTCCTCGTGCCTGCCTTGCCCCTATACATCCAGCTCTCCTGCACACTCCTTCCTGAAAATCATGTTACCAGCTGCTCTCTGACCACAAGTGTTCAAAGAACAAAATAAGCTGCGAGTGCACGTGAAGAGAGGCCAATAGGGTGAAAGCAAATCGACGTGACCAGATGTTTGTTTCCAAGCACACGACTCTGCGGCCTGGGCCTATTTTTACTATTGTGCCCAGACTCTTTCTTCGTTCTTTTTAAGCAGCTGCATGGAAAAGAAAATTGCTTGAAACCTAACTGATGTTTTATGGTATCCTCTTCTGCTGAGAAAATAGCTGTTTAAAACATTAAAAAGAGGGAGGAGTCATCAGAAGCTGTGACTGAACCTCTGCACAGTGTCACTGCACTTTGTTCTTCAGAGTTAATTGCCGCAGCAGTGTCAGTTCATTCTGGGGGATTACAAAAGGATTCGAATGTATTAAAATCGGGATGAAGTCAATGAGCGAACAAAGCGTCCAGCACGACTTTTGCTAAGTCAAACATAAACAAATAATTGCAGCGTTTTATTACCTTTCTCTGCATCCATTCATTTTAGCAAAGAGAAGCCGGAGCACTTGTTCCTTTTGCTCCCAAGTGAGATCAGAGATTTCAACTTCGCTCCCCGGTTGATCCGTCCTTCAAGACAAGCAGATGAAATCACATTTCAGTGTCACTTTTGTTGTGTAAATTCCGTTACTTAATGAATATGAACCACAAAGATGTTTGCTGACCACTGAACAATCTGGGAATCAGCACTGGTAAACATAAGGAATTAAAAATATCAGGAAGATACACACAGCGTATGGAAATGATGAGAAGGGCAGGAGACCTACCATGTCGCAGCCGCCTCCATGTCTGAATAGACAGAGTTGGTACTGTGGGCAGTTTTATGGAAGGTGCGGATGGGTGGGAACTTTATCTTTCCTGCTGTGGCTTCTCTAAACCTCCTACGATAACTCTGCAGTGCCTCCTGTTTGTATTGGAGCCTGCTGTCCTTGATCTCCTTCCTCACATGACCCAGTGCTTCATGGAAGAACTCCTCCAGCTCTTGGCGCTTTGCTACAATAGTGCTCGCCAGTTGCTTCACATGCTTCATTTCCTTTTCTCGCATCGCGAGCACTTTCTGCAACTTGTCCAGCTCCACCTGGCTGGCCTGGATGGTGACCAGGTTCGCCTTCTCCTTCTTCTCCAGCTGCTCAATCTCCACGGCTTGGAGCTGTAGGGCCTCCTCCAGGGAAGCCACCTCGGCCCTCAGTTCAGATAGCTTCTGTTTTTGAGTCCCCAACTGTGCTGCGTTGTCCTTTACCGTCAACTCCAGCATGCTCTAGGTGAGCAGGAAACGGATAACACAGAGTTAATTTTAGAAGATCCTCTCACTTTTATTCCAGTGAAGAACAAGGAACAGATATTGACTTGTGTTCCAGCCTGTTCTGCTCAGTGAGTGGTCAAAGTTTCAGTAAGCCAGGTTTACTCTACTGATTAGCTGTCATCATCAGAGGTAAGATTAATGTGCCCAGCATTTATTTATGTTTAAGAATCACAGCCAGAAAACGGCCAAGGATAAGCTACTTTATTTGAACCCAGACACCAGTGGAAACTCACCACAACCACTGACCGCTGAGAGGCTGGATAGTAGTCAGAAGATGAGGGGGGTGGGAGTGGGACCACAAGCAAAATACACAGGATCAGCACAAGTAAACAACACAAGGGAAAAACCACCTGAAATATATTCTGCACAGATCTGACAAGTGTTTCATAACTGAAAGTGATTTAAAATGTCTTTATGGAGATGAATGGCCTCTGTCCAGGGACTGCTGGTGCCTAATAGCTACTCTGGTGTTTGCTGTTCTTTGGTTTAAACATACCTTGTCCAATGCCAGTGAGGTGTTTTCCTCAGTCAGTAACTTTGCTAACTTCTGCAGATCCTCTGCCTCCTTTATGTGATATTTCAGCTTGTCAATGAGGCAATCGCGCTCCTTGATCACAGAGTGCAAAGCATCTTTCAATCGCCTAAACAGTTTACAGCATAAAAGAGAGACACTGAGAAATTAATCAACAGTTATGAACACGCACCAGTCTTGATATTGTGTTCAGCAGTATTTGCAGTCAATTCCTAGCCTGCTGCAAAAAGAAATATTAATTTTTTTATTTGTGAAATACAGTCCAAAAAATTAAAATAAAAGTATAAACTCTGTCAGTTCTAAGGTTTTGGGCATCAGGTTTTGTGCATCAGTGTTTAGTCTTTATGAGCACTTAAAATTAGATAAACACAACCTCAGATGATCTATAAAACATGGCATATTATACTGAGACAATACTGATTTAAGAACAACTTGGCTGATGAAGCAGTGTATGGGGAAAACTAAGTACTAGTTACACAGAGATTATGAGAGCAACTATCAGTCAGATGCTGCTACTCAAATGATATGAAATGTGACCATGTTCACAGAAGCAAAGGTTTTGGCAGTTTGTTCATCTGGTGCATTCAGATGTGTGTGGACACAATTCCAATTAGGAAAAATATCAGCAATGATCTCAGAGAATCTGGGGACGGTTATTAGGTCATTTTAAACAATCTGAAGTCCTTCTACAGTGAAGGATTGTTCACAAGTGGAAAACACTCAAGGAAGTTGCCAATCTTTGCAAAAGTAGATGTTCCAGCTAAGAGAAATTAAAAATAGACTACTAAGGCCCCAGTTAGCATTCAACTACAGTACAGGAAACAAACAAACAAACAATGATTGCATCTTTGCCTCGTCTTTCTAAACAAAGACATGTCAGTATGACTTCGGTTTGCAAAGATGCATCTTAGACAAACCACAAAACCTCTAGAACAATATCCTTTGGAGAAACAAGACCAAAATTGAGTTGTTGCCCATAAATTATAGTGCCACATTTCACAACAAGCAAACACAAGATATCAGCACAAATACCTCAAACCGACTGCCAAGCATGGTGGTGGAGGAGTGATGGTTTGGGCTTGTTGCAGTCATTGAGTCGACCATGAACTCCTCTGTACACCAAAGTATTCTAGAATCAAAATGAGAGGCCATCTGTCTGATAGAGGCTTGACTGAAACTCGGTCATGCCAGTGGTCAGGACAATGATCCCGAGCACAGCATCAAATCTACAACAGAATAGCCAAAAAAAGACTAAAAATGACCTGGTCAAAGCGCCGCCTTTAACACGAGTGAAATGATCTTAAGAGAGCTGTGCATGAATAATTGCTGCAAACCTCAATAAACTGAAGCAAAACTGTAAAGAAAAGTGGGTCAGAATTCCTCCACAATCATATAAGAGGCACACGGTCACACAGTAACGTTTTTTCTGCTAAATCACGATGGCAATTTTATTCATACAGCACATTTCATTATACTTCAACTCAGTGTTTTTTAAACAGACAATAAAGGTGGTGGGGATGTACTTAGTTTTTCACACACTGCTT